AGGCCATTCTTAATAACCCAAGCACCTACGAGATTCTCAACCCCGTCGACTTTGGCATGAACCGATACGTTCACTTTGCTTCCAGACTAACTGGATGGAATGCCATTAAGAGTCGTGTTGAGCAACCGGGTCTTACTATGAGCGATGACCAAGTTAAGCTACTGTAAGTTTTAACTAATCCCCCAATCATCTTGTTGAATCTCCATTGACGAAATAAACCAGAACACAAAAGATCAAGGCTATGGCTGACATCCGTCCCCTTGCCATTGACGATACGGATTCAATTATCCGTTCCTTTCATCTCGAAATTCAGGAAGCCGCATAAAATCAGTTGGGATACAATGTGAAAGAGGGAGACATAAGTCTCTTACAGCGGGGTGTTGGCAAAACAAAAGTTCTATATTGCATTTATATATGGCCGCTTTTCGGTCCTTCCAATCCTTTCGATATAAATGATCGCTCTCATGGCCTGATGATGTTTTCATCTCCATAGTAGTGGCAAGTGACAATGAAATATGTTGATCAGCATTTTACATGTCCAGCATTTTGCATGTCCAGCATCTAGACCCGACCTTTGAATTGCACCGTCCAGTTTCGGAAGCTGTTTGAGGGGTAATGCTTCCCTTGGTAGTAGTTTCAGTGAATGATTCCCTGTCCTTGCTACCCGCGTATTAGTACCTCGTACATAGTTCCTCGGTGGGGTAAGTTTGAAGCCCCACCTCTCCCCCAAGGTCATCAGGCTGCTTGCTGGTCTTCACCTCAACATGCCCAATTGTAAACGTCCAAATCAGTGCGCATTTTGATAATATTCTGTGTGTATTCCCACCTTCGAACAAACCAAAAATCCACTCGCTGTCGCTGTCGCTATTGCCGTTGTTGTTGCTTCCTTTTTTTTCCCTTCCCCTCGCCTTTGCTCTACCTCTTCTTCTTCTTCTTCTGCTTTAGCTTCGCATCTCAGCGCCGTCTCTCGCATCGTTTTTAACCAGTTCTCACCGTCATATTTGAACTGCGTTTTTCTCGCTTGGCCCGAATCTAAAGTAATTCCTTGCCCCACCAAAGCCTCTCCTCTCTCACCGTATAATTTATTAAAAGGATGAAGCGCTCACGAGAGCCGGAAGAGCATTTAGAACCCGACTCCCAGCAGGGGCACTCTGAACGGTTTACCGACTCCAACGTCGAGATACGGCACGTCTCAAAGATTACAGAGCTAGATTCTGCCGTTACAGACGAGCAGGACGAGTTCGCCATGAGATGCTCATTGCCCCCTCACAAGGAGCCCCTCGGCTTCCGGTTCTACAGCGATTACGAGGCCCACTACCAGAATTTCCACACAAACCGTTGTCTTGAGTGCCGAAAGAACTTCCCTACTGAGCACCTCCTCGGTGTTCACATTGAAGAATGCCATGATCCCCTTGCCAAGGTTGCGAGAGAAAGAGGAGAACACACAGTAGGCTACATATCATCACATACTCCGTTTCTCTAACCAAGTTTGCTCTAACGTAGCGCAGTATTCTTGCTTTGTCGAAGGATGTGATCGCAAATGTATGACACCACAGAAACGACGCCTGCATCTAATCGACAAGCACCTGTATCCCAAGAACTTCTTCTTCGCCGTCACCAAGGACGGTATTGATGGAAGACGTTCTCTCCTGCACGAGGGCGGGCACCGACGCAGGTCATCGTCAAACGCTCAGCCGCCCAAGGAGATCAGGCTCCGTGCAAGCACCCAAGAGCCAGATATTTCGCAGCAAACCAGCCAGCCAAAGCCAAAGCTGGTACCAGTTGACACCAAGGAGGATAAGGCCAAGCCGCAGAAGACAGACAGTGCCCAGAAGGACACAGATATGGCGGAGCTCACGGGGGCCATGTCAGCTTTGCATTTTGTTCCACCAAGCATTCGATTCGGCCGGGGTCGGGCAGGGTTCTCGAAGAGATAATTCAGACATCATCACGGGGGGATCAAGCTGGACAGCAATGATGATAATCAGTATGATATTATGACATAACATTATCCGGTCATATGAAAGGATTTCTACCTCTTGGATGCAAACATGTCCTTCTCGCCCATCAGTTGTTGTTTTGTAGGTATTATAGTTGAGCATCAACCACCGACGCCAAACGCCATTATATATCCAGCCGTTTTTACGGACTCTTTTGTTGTTCCTTTTCAGCCCAAATAAAGGTAGAACTAGTCGCTCGATGCGCATCCTCTGCAGCCACAGCTGACGCACTGCAAATCGTGGTCGTCTTTCAGCTGCGCCCTGGGAACTCGGCAAATACATGTGCTGTTGAAGTTTGTCTCTTTCGTCTGAACGCATCGCAAGCAACAGAGCTACGAAAATGTCAGCATAAAGCCCAACTACTCAGCAATCTCTCCCAGCGATAGCGACTCACCTTTTCGTATCCCTGCTTCTTCCACTTGGCTATTAACATCGCGTCCGCGTACCCATTCTTCAACAACCACTCGTATAACTGCTTGCTGATGGCCTCCTTCTCGTAGTACAAATCGTACACGTAACGACTCCTCTGGTGGGCGATTTGGAAGACTTCCCATTGCGCTTGGTGTTTCGGCCCTGGGGGCGGCGGCTTGTTCTGCGCATCCTTCATCTTGTTGGCGAAGATGAGCAGATCGGACTCGATGTCGCTGAAGCCCTCGGGAGGGGGCTTGCGCTTGGAGGAGTGTCGAATAGCGGGCATCTTGGTGTTTTTTTCCGGGGGGTATACGAATTGCTAAGAATAAAGGTCGTCTAATCAAGGCAAAAAGATGAAGTTCTGAAAGGTGAAGATGAACTTGGACTTTTAGTAAACAAAAGGTACCTGGGTAGATTGAAGATGCTAGAAAGGCTGAGATAAGCCACACTCGAGGGGCCATCAAGTGTGGCGCACGTCCCGTAATGGCCTTTGTATCACGTGATGCTTCATGTTTGAGGCTGTTGCTCAATGCGCTTCGACTTGCAACTCAACGTCACGGCACCGTGGGATTCCTTATAGAGACGCATTGATTGCCCACCATGGCCATTTTGCCGACGCAGTTCGCCAAGAAGACGGCGCAATGTGAGTTCCCCAATTTTTCCCACGTATTATCATGTTACTAACACGGTACATAGCGGCCAACTGGTCGGAAGCCAAGCGCCGAGTTCTTTCTTCCTACCGAGAATGGATCCGAGGTGTACGTCCCACAAAGCTCCCTTCCCAGTATTCGGTTTTCCCTGTCCAAAAGTTCTTCTGAATGGGACCTTTTTCTCGACTACGATGATAGTTCTGCGCCGGGTTAATTGGGGTGGGATCTGACAGAAAAGAGATTATAGGCGAACGAGATCCAGACCATGTACAACGTCCCCTTGCCCCCTTCCACCATCAGGACAAGAATACGTCAGGAGTTTGAGCGAAACCGATTCGTCAACAAGCTCTCCGTGGTGGACGTTCTGCTCTTCAAGTCCCACGCCGAATACCAGGTTCGAAACGCCCCCCAAGAAAGAAAGAAAAAGAGGGGGAGGGGGCAGCTGTTTGGAGAATGGGATGCATGCATACTGACTTGGGGATTTTGTAATAGGAGACGATGAACTTCTGGAAGCAGACCACTCACATCATGGCTTACTTCAAGGGCGACAACTTCAGGGGAGACAGGAGACTCCCCTCGAACTTTATGACGGGTTTCTTAGAGGTGAGTTTGCGATGAGGCGTCACTTCTGTTGGAAATGGGTTTGGTGGTGCCTCTTATAACTGACACTATTTTGATAGGGCCGAAATTAGCGAGACAATGGCATCAATTGCTTGTGTAAATATTTCCCTTTATCAAGATTTCAAGTCAAGAACTGCCTAAAGAACGCCATCAAGTCCCTCCCCTCCCTCCTTGTTACACTGAATGTTCTATACGTGTGAAATTATCATGACAATCAAAACTCTTTTAACTCCGCCAGTCAGGAGAAAAGGAGTTTTTTTCTTTCTTTTTCTTTTCATCGCTCAATACCTTGCTCAACGTTGAATGCTTGTCTCTTTGTCCAGAATTCCTCCGCCACGACGTCGCATACGTCTTGCAGATCTGTTAGCCCCTTCTTCAAGGCGTCCACAGCTGCGCCCTCTTTAGATGGTGTTAGCAACAACAAAAAAACTAAAGTTGAAAGACTGAAGTAGTTTAGGGCAGGAAAGGGGCTGTTATCTAGTCTCACCGTATGTTTGTATTCTGATGTTCATCTTGGGTTCAGAAGGGTGAGGAATAGCATAGGCGCAAAACTCCACGTCGGGGCTGTAGAACTTGTTAGTAGGACGGTCCAATGCAACCGCGACGAAAAATGCATGAATGAAAGACGTTACTTTTTCATAATGATGTATCTCAGGGCATTGCCGAGAGTGTGACCCTCATCAATGAATTCAAACGAGGCCGCTGTATCTGTTGAGCCAGGAAGCTGTTTCAAAAAAAAACATTAGCCAAGAAAAAACTTTGTACTCAACCAAGGAAAAGACATAAAAGTTCCTTACAATTTTGACACGCTGCACCTCCACCTCCTCCTCTTCCTCCTCTTCTTCCTCCGCCTCCACCTCAGCATCCTCAGCCATCTCAGCGTCCTGGTTGCCCTCGTCCTGGGCAGACGGAGGGGCGTCCTGCATACTGGCGTCCTGGGAGGAAGGATCTTCCTGCTTCTTTGTTCGGCCTGGCATATTTTTCTTCTTTCTTTTTTCTTTCTTCTTTCTTTTTTCTTTCTTCTTCTTTTTTATATAATACTCTCCCGCTCTTTTTCGTTGATGAAATCAATCAAGGATAATGACCAGAGTTGATTTATGGTGAATTTTTCTGTTCAAAAACGTCGTTTACAGTAAAGTTTCTTTCTGAAATCTTCAGATTTGTCGATAAGCCTTGCTTCCAAGAAATTTTGATGAAAAGCGCCAGAATAGTGGGTCTCATTTGTCAAGGCAAAAAAAAAAAAAAAACCTTTCCCCCCTCGGTATCCGTATATATTGATTTTGCGCACGGAAACACCATCCCCGGTTCCGAAGAACTTGCCCGGGTAGCTCAATGGCTAGAGCGTGCGGCTTTTAACCGCAAGGTTGGGGGTTCGAGACCCCCTCGGGCGAACAATTCATTTTTGTATTTTTTGGCCATTTTTCATCTAGTCAGTCCTCTTCAATTTGACGATACGCTCGCCATCCTTTTTAATTTTCATCATCCTTGTCCGGACATTTACACCTGTAGGGAACATGTCATTCCATTACTAACATAACATTTTCAACCACTTTCTCTTCTTCAATTCCATTACATGCATCGTGTTCATCGACCTTTATTCTCAGACATCGGAAATGATGCATCAATTCCTTTCCTACTGAGAACGGAATATAATCCAGGGTAGGTCAGCCCGACTAGGTTCGCGAAACAAATGCCAAACGTCTCAGAAGCTAGATGCCAAGAACTTGACTGTCCCGTTCCCGGGTCTGATGAAACAACATTCTCATGCCCAATTGCTGCCAGATCTCTAAGCGCATGAAACATCATCTCACACGCTGGGGTCGGCATTTATGATCAGGCGATGGGTAAATATATATGCCTGTCGTCGAGCAAGATGGAGTATGGCGATGGTCACCCCACACGATTACATCATATATCTGGCCTTGGGGATCTCGTTCAGGCTCAGATCAGATGGCACGGGTTGGAGGCACGGCGCCCAAAAAAACATGATTGTAACTAGGGAACAAGGGTATCTCCAAGGATAGTAAAACCCATAATCAAGTTGCTTGTTGATCGTGGCAGATCTGTACAGTGTCAGAATTCTCGTAGGGCTATGCTTACCTACACCCCCTGGACGAAACAGATGAGAGCAATATAATGGTTCATTATACGCAAGGTGAATACAACAGACCAGTAACGTATCATTCATCTCTTTGTTTTTTAAAATGACTCTTATGAAAGGATAGACTCGTTACTTTTGTTTGATTCGGAATCAAGAGTTCGTTCAACGTGATGAGACTTTGAATGGAAGTAGGTCCGGGCCGTCCAATCGCGGACACTGTCGCAGCCTCCAGTTGAAACGACCAGTTAGCCAATAAGGGGCATTGGCGAGACGAGATCCCAATGAGTCGATAGGCCGCAAAAAGCAAAGAGCAACCCCTGCAGCCCTGTTAGGTAAGACCCACTTCGGCGATGACCTGAGACGTCGGTTGCGTGGTCGTCTCAGGTGAGGCAAGTCGTTTATTATTCTTCTCAAGTGGAGATGGGGTGCATGGTCTTTGTGCTGTCACGAGACTGGTGAACACTTTTCACGACATATGAAATTCGCAGATTGAGAGAATTAGCAGCGAACCATTTACCACTTGCTGCACGTATATGGCATGTAGTATCTGTACCATCCGGAGAGTCGCATGCATCGAGAAGTCGCATGTCTCTGTTGGTGCACCGGTATTTGTAGAATAAGGTCAATGAACCGATGCAAGATGGGGGATGGGATCGCTTGCCACGCCGAAGGATTTTTTTCTTCGTGTTGGCGATGAGTTTCCAAGAAAGAAGAAGCGCCGAAGCTGCACCTTTCCGCCAAGCGATCCGAAACATTTAAAGTACCACCCACTCCAAAGCCACCGGTCTGGTGGAATAGTCGTTATAAGAGCAATATATTCCAGAGACTACGGCGCCCAAGGCATAAGGGGAAATATTGAAAGCAATGCACATCTTGTCGGATGTGCCGTAGTCATCGGTGAAGAAAAGGATACTCCGGAGCAGAGGTGGCAGCTAGGGGCGAGGGGTTCCTTCAAAGCACCGGTATCTGTGTTCAGGGGGTGGTTTCGGGGCCAGTAGATGGCACGAGCTTCCTCGAGTATCGAACATCAGTGGAATCCTGGTAATAAAATAGGGACCCATTTCAAGGCACTTGTGAGAGGGACGTGACCCTGTGTTCGTTTTGAAGAGGAAACAACCAGGTCCTTGAGATTATAGCGGGCGTCCAAGATGGTCAGATGACGGCGACGGTGGTTTGACAGCATATTAACAGCTCGTATGCCGGGAAGCCTACTGGACACAACAGAATGGATGAATCGTGTCTCGGCATCATCACATTTACAGGCGACGTCCCTAAATTCACTGTATGACAGCATTAGCTTTAGAGAGGCTGGCTGACCGCTTGACGGTGATGCATTCGCAGTGTCGGGCGGGGGAAAGGAGTTAGTACTCCTTAACTGAGAGGGCATTGCGAAGAACGAGAGAGGGAGGGAGAGAGAGAGAGAGAGAGAGAGAGAGAGAGAGAGAGAGAGAGAGAAAAGCAAGTTCTGATATTCCCCTCCGCTCTAGAGGGTTTCACGCTCATGTGGCAACAAGAACATGCATGTCGGGCATAATGAACGGGCACATCAGAGTTGATGTGCCAGGAATGGTTGTTTTCAATGCCCAATCAACTAGGATTGATGATGGATCATGGCAGGCACCAGAGCCAGGAAGAGCATGGCATGGCATGGCACGGTTACCGCTGCAAGGATGGATTGACAAGGTGGGAGGGATGAGGGGTCATGCAGGGCTTGATGCTTAAGTCGCCCTAGCGGAGGAGGGCTAAAGCATGGAAGCATACAGATGGAAGCCCTATCATGGTCTCTTTCCGAATTCATTTGTAAGAAGAATGAAGCGGCGTTTTTGGGTAAACAGGAAAGAAGGAAAGAAAAAGCTCCGTTGGGGAGAAGAACAATGATGGCTGGCGGATAATGCTTTGTACCATGAGCATGATAATAGAGTTAAATGATGGATGGAGGACAGAGGGAGTGGCTGCGTTGAGGCGATCGTCAAATTTGGATGACACATACGGAGTACGTACTAAGAAACTACTAATTATTGGGGAAAACTTATCCGCGACTTCCATTAAACGAGACACGATTGGTATTAGAATGACGTCTGAAAGGCGTGGCTTATCACCGTGGCTGATCACACTTGCCCATCTTTGATCATCAGTGTTTGATCTCCAGGGCATTGGGGCAATTGATTAACATCCCTATGCACTTATTTAGCCGGGCGTTCCACTTGGGCCATCGCTGATAGGCCTATGCCTGTATGGAATGCGAAAGGTATTGCATCGCGGAAATCAAGCCGCAATTGCCCATTAGCAGCAGAGAAAGGGGATAAAAGTTTTCATGATCAAGTACTAATAGGTAGGATTCAATAGACATACAGCCCGCCAATATAGGTACATATACCAAGGTAAGCAAACAAAAACACCACACCGTGTGGGTTGGGTTGGATGTAACCCAGGCGGCCCTGGTCGTGGTTCGAAAAGTTCAGCTTTCCCGTAAATGAGGAACATTGAGCCAATAATGAGTCTTGAACGCCCAATCCGCATTATAACTTGTCATTACCAACAGACACGACATATGCACATACATATGAAGCACTTCTTGTCTGTATCCTTGGTTGGCTCTCCCTTTGCATATGCCCACAATTGGAGGAGACAGGGAGAGGGGGAGAAGGAGAAGAAGAAAGAGAAGCAACAAGCAAGCCGACAGCAAAACGGGCAAACAACAAACAACAGACGGGACAGACAGACGCCATGGGGAAGAGAACATTCGGTGGCCGTTTCACCATCAGAACGCTACGACTTCACCATGTCTTTGTTTTTGCAGGCCGTCGAACGCGACGAATCTCCGCACCAGTGAGCCTGGCTTGGACATTAGCGTGTATCGTGTCAACGCAACTTTTTTCTTTCTTTTTCAATCTCACGGTCTCCGTCAAAAAGAGGAGACGATGATCAAATCGCACGCAACTTGTATCGGCAAGCTGCCGTGTAACGTGTCGCACAAATTGCCATGACCACCTCCTCTCCCCCTCCTCATCCTCCTCCGATGATACAAGCAATCAAAAAAAAGTAAAAAGTAAAAAAAATATATCAGATTGACTACCACAACTACCGCCACCCAACCTAGACAAAACGGTGTGAGTTACCCCGTATTGGGTAGGTAGAAGAATGTAGTGGTATCATTGGATAGCAAGTCTTCAACACTTCGCTACCTCGTACCTATCTTAGCCATTATTACTTACCTACGGAGTATTCTGTCACATATCTTGTATTTGCAACAAAAGGAAAAAGTTGAAAAGGAAGAGACATTTGAGTGGAGATGGGAGGCTATCCATGGATACGCCCTACTAACCGATCCAGCTTTCAAGCCGGGCTGATCTACCCGACTCAGAATCCTTTTACGAGTAATCGGCAGATGCCCTACTTGGTTCGGCGGCGGCGGCGGGAAGGATTGGATTGGAGAAGCGACGCTGAAAAAGCCAAGTTGCAAGCCATGCCATCTTTTCTGTCCGTTCCTTTTGAGAGAGATGAACTGAACTGAACCGAACTGAGAGCAACATGGGCTCGGATTCGTGACCAATGAGAGTATGTAGACTGTGCAGACCTGGGCTGGGATTTGGTGGGATTGACTTGGGACCTTTTGGCGGTGCGCGGCTGCAGTGACTGACCTGCGTTTGTGCTAGTATCAAAGTAAAACATCCATGGATCCCATGGATTTTTGAGTCTCTTCGCTTCTTCGTCTCTTCCTCCTCCTCCTCCTCCCCGAAGTCACCGGGCAATGGGAGAGGAGAGGGTTGCAGGGCCATGCACCATGGCAGGTGGTGCTGGCAGGGATGAGGATGGATGGATGGATCCGATGTGGACGTGTGGACGCTCGCGCGCAGGTGAGGCGGAGGGGCGGGTGGAGGTGGTCCACCGGCAACAGTCCAGTGAGATGGCGCTGTGGCCAGAAGCCTTCCAGCCTGTAACCTTGTTGCAATGCGCCCTAACGAGTACAGTAAGAGTTCTGGGCAGCGTCTACAGTGCAAACAAAGCCCTCTGAGCTCTAAGCAGCAGCAGTAGGTAGCAGTATCAGAACAACGACAGCAGCAGCAGCAGCAGCAAGCAAAAGATTGGAAACAAACGGGCTCCCAACACGCACGCCCCCCTTCCCTCTCTTCCCCCCAACGCCCCCCCTTGCCGTTTCGATCCATCATTTCCCCATCCATCCATCCAATCCATCCCACCCAAAATCCTCCATTGCTTCAGAAAGTGCTTCATTCACTCCAACTAAGATGACGAGACGACGACTAATTCGCTGAGACCTTTTGACCTCC